ACACAGGGACAACACATGCGAACAGCCCGCTGCATCTGGTAACAGCGCGCCGCTTGCGAGGGAACCAAGGAAGCGCCAAACACACCTAGAGCTCCAAAGCACCCAAGGCTTCAAAAATAGGTGATCATCAGCGATCAGGAGTCTGGCTAGAATCTTTCATACTGCAATGGACGATTCTGCTTATATACGCAGCACTGAAGGATGGAATCTCAGAAATGGGTTTCAAGAAAATTATGGACATAAGCTTATGTTGAGTCATTATTGTAAAGAAAGATTCCATAAAAATGTGGACAGATTTTGTTGAAAGCCTGACAAAAATATTGTATATCAATATGTAAATTAGGGTGATCTTTTAATGAGCCACCATTTATGTACATCTAAATACACTCATTTGCAAAGCTTAGGAAATTGGAAGGTCTTTAATGTCGTCGGTTTTTTATTTTAAGGAGGCAAAGTCAATTGTCAGTTATTGTCTGAATCCAGAAATACATGCTAAAAGGTACAACTTCCTTAAGTCTTGTCCATGAGTGTAACTTAATCTTTTCTGCTCCACCAGATGGCGCTATGCTTTCTGTAAAGCACATGTGCTCCTGGTCAGATATGCCATTTTTATTTTAATATCAACACCTGACCTTTTTATTTATTTTTTTTCTATTAATTTTTCGTATATTAATATGTAAAATACATATTGAACAATCATAGAGTACATAAGTAAGGTAAAAAAGATCCGATTCTCAACTGATAATATAGACTCATATAGAAAGAGAAAATATAAACGTTTAAAATGTGTGCTGTTAAAGTTTACTTTGTGCTAGATAGAGTTAGTTAATATCTCCCCGTCAGATATTTTTATTCTATAAAAAACATTTTAAGAATCATTTAAATTTATTTATTTTCACGTCAAAATGTTTTATTAAATATATATATACACACGACTTCTAACGGCGAATGTTCAATGAATCCCAAAAAATGCTGAAAATCCTAAGTGATAAAAACAAATTCGAAAAAAAAAAAAATTGTACAAAAAAATTATGGTGAAAAAAAAAAAAAACTTAAGATGAATTAAGACTTGATCAGAGAGTTGTCTTATCATCATCAATTAATACTGCCGGGTTGCCTGTCCAATTATAGAAATTAACACAGCATCAGCCGATACATTGATCCTCGATATCTTCCCGGATGTAATTACAGAATTCCGACAATATGCTCCAAATATTCTGCCAATTATGTGACACACACGTGACCTTTTGTTTGGACGTGATTCGCCCAGGGTCGTCGTCTGCTGCTCTTTTTTTCCCGCCAAAATATTTTGTTGACACAAAGTACCTTACTCTATGATTAATTATTATATATATATTAAAATATTTGACTTTTTTTTCCGAAATTCTCTTTTTTTTTTGTCGTATTTTTCTTTTCATTCCACTTTTTTTTTCGTAAAAAATTCCATCAGTGATTATTTATATAATTAAATGTTTTTTTTACCTCTAGCACAATTTTATGTAGAAAGTATTTTTTTTTTCATTTGAAAAAATAAATATTGATTATTTTTGCCAATATGCAGATTTATCTTTCAAAGATTAAAAATAAAATATTTAGGCGGTAATATTGAAAAGATACATAGATATTTATTGATACTGTTTTTTTAATTTTCTACTCTCTCTAAGCCTTTAGATTTAACTATGATTTTTTTTCATATTATCAGTAGTAAAATGTATAACTATCCTTTTTGTTAATTATGACATTTATTTTCAAATACTCTTTCCTCTCTCTTTCTCGCGGTGGGCGCCACCAATGAAGACCTTGTATATATATTTATATATTTTTTAATTAAAAAGGCATATATTGGATCAAAATATCATTTATTTTACCAATATTTCAGTTGGCTGAACGCCAACCTTTATCAAGGTGTTATAACATTTTAAAGTGTGTCAACAACCAATATGTGTATATGTATATTTATCAATTATTTTATCTATTTATATCTATTTATTCATATATCTATTATTAATAATCTTATTTATTCAATTTATGTATTTAACCTTATATAATCTTATATGGACGTTATAATAAATCAGTTTCAATCTCAATCTCTCTCTCTCTCCAGACCTTACTGCAATGATAAAAATAATAAGACGAAAAGGCTTAGCTCACTATCATATATCATCGGCAAAATTATAGTTAGAAATTTTATGAATAAATGGCAATTGGAATTAAAATAATAATTATTAATAATTTTAGTATTTTCTGAAGTTTATTATTATTCGTTTCTATAGGTACTCCTGTAGAAGGGCAGGGATGTCCGAAAGCTTGAGATTACATTAAAAAAAAAAGAAATAATCTTCAGAAAGCTGTTGTATCGAACACACATATATATATTTTGAAAATGGAGCAATCCATATTTACTTCATTAGATAAAAAAAGGAATATATTGGATTTAATAAAATATTTATTTTGCCAATATTTCGGCTGGTTGATCGCCAACCTTCATCAAGGCATTACATTTTTGTATAAACACACTCAGCGCCGCATATAAATATATACAGTGGTACCTCGACATACGAGCGCCCCAACATACGAGTTTTTCGAGATACGAGCCGACGAGCAAGTGATTTTTTGCTTTTAGTTACGAGCGAAATTCGAGATACGAGTTCGGTTCGGTAGTAACACGCAGTCGCGCCATCACGATCAGTTAGCAGCGTGCTTCCGCTGTGATAAGTTGTGTTTTGTGTTCGCGTTTTGTGTTGCGTTTACATTTACAATAATTGAACATTCTGAGAGGTAGGAAGAAACAAGCCTCCTTGGACATGTTTTTTTCTAAACGGCCTACAGGTGAAAGCGAGAAAAATGTAGCGAAAAAGGCAAAGACCAGTGAGGATATCTAATTTATTTCTTTACATTATCTTTTTTGTTTTTGTGCAATAAATATTTGTTATTTATAAATACGTTTTTAATATTTAAAACCACGAAACAAAAATAACTGGGGTGACATTTTGGAGGTTGGAACGGATTAATGGTAGTTCAATTGTTTTGTATGGGGAAATTTGCTTCGAGATACGAGTAATTCAAGATACGAGCAAGGTTGCGGAACGAATTAAACTCGCATGTCGAGGTACCACTGTATATATATATATATAACCTGTATCACTATAACACCCGGGTCCCTATACATCCACCACCAGGTATAGTCCAGGCCAGCGACCAAAAAAACCGCCAGGTTAGAACTCTGCCCCTTAACGAGCCCTAATCCAATTAAAAAGTAGACCTCAATAAAAATTAGGAAAGTTCCCTCGGGCCATAACACTTATTCAATTGTCTTATCCCGGTGTCTTAGGTATTTTTGTTTTCTCAGTATACTGCCTACAATGATTACCAAGTGTAAACACTTACAGTTAGGGGACAATTTCCCTGTTCGTCATAGAAGGAAAAACACAGGTAAGGGAGAAGATCTTCTTTTATTTATTTAAGCTCTTCTTCCCGAATCTCTCTTATGTTTCTTCTTTTATACTTACAGTTAAGGCAGTCACAAACATATCACCATGATTATCATGGCTTGTGTCAAGTGCAAACATTTGTCATACTTAGAGTCAAAATAGTCCTAAACACCTACCCATCACCATGATTATCATGGAATCTACTAGCTGTTTTAAATATTGAAATGTAAATAATTGAGAAACCACTTTGGATGGGCAAACTGAAAAATACAATCGAAACGAATTGTTATCACATTGATAAAGTTATTAAAAAGACAATTTATGATAATAATGTTATTGTTGACTATTTCAAAATTACACTCATGGACAAAACCTAAGAAAGTTTCATATTCTAACCATAAACCACTCCTTATTTGCTTATCTAACGGCGGATTTCCATTATATGTAAATTGGAACGTTCTCCTTAAAAAAACAATAACAAATATAATAAAATATAATCATAAAAATATATACATGATTTTTATTATTATCCCATTGTATAATTATACAAGGTCACGGAGACTATATTCATTGATCAAATTCACAATCTTGGTAGGGTTGGAATACAGGTCCTGTCTTGAGGTGGTCCGGTGAGGCATCTCTGGTCCTGCAGATGGTACATTGTGGGAAGACACCATCCTGGAAGAGGAGCAGTCTTGTATGGCTGCCAGTTTTAAGCCTGAAAATACAGGTTACTGCCCGTCAGTTCATTCCACATTCCAGAATAACTCCAGGCTTTTGGTTCAGATACCAATAATGGAATGTCGACTCCTGTATTTTTGTTTCCTTTTTTTTTGTACGTTTGAAAAGGTCAAAATCAAGGTCTAAGTTGGTTTTGCTGCTAATTTTACAATTGCATCTGCTGTGTCATGCTGAAACTTCCTTTAGTTTTGTCCATGAGTGTATACAGCTATTAACTTATTATAACGAGTATTCAAGAAAGATTTACAATACTGCAAATAAAAAATGCAACTTATTATTTAAAAAAAGACAAAAAGTTGTCTTGAGCTTATATTAGATATAGTAGAATTATCATTAGGAAAACTGCATGTTGTGGTTATACTCAAGGTTATAGTGAGAGATTGAACCATACCTTATTGACTTCCAGTAAACATCAAAACAAAGTTACAACAAAATTACAGCTATCAGCATTGTAATAAAATATATCCATGACATCTGACTCGAGGGCCTTCCCCGAGGGACGTCTAGATTATATCAAGGGCTACAAGCCGTCCTGAGTCCGGATAGGCGCTTGGCTAATATGGAGTTGTTTCCCCAACATGTTCAATTGCCATGTTGAGGAATTGGCACAGAATGTTCTTTTTTTCTGGCGAGAGCTACCTGAGGAGTTGCTCCCTCTCAGGGAGATATCGCCCCCAGTACCTCCCATATAGTCAGAGAGAAAGAATATGGATTTACGGGTTACTAACCAAAGTGTATTATTTTAAATAAAAAGTGCCGAAACTAGGGACCTTTAGATCTTCAGTCTAACGCTTTCCCAACTGAACTATTTCGGCTCAAAAAGTAAATAGCCAACAGCACCCGGTTTTTCCAGGTGGTCACCCTCCCAAGTACTGACCGACATTGCTTAACTTCGGTAATCGGACGAGAACCGGTGTTTGTGGTATGGCCGTAGGTAAATGTTATAGTTAACTTGGAATGTGAGATATAGCTGGGAATATGGTTTAATGTCACTTAGTATTTATTTCACAGAATTATATAACATACACTTTATTTTGGAAAACAAGACCGAAACGTGTATTTGGTTAGATTTTCTTGATTAAACAAGAATGAGTATTTGACCAATTCTGGAATAATTAAAAATTAACGAATAGTTGATATTTATTCCGATAGATGGTGCAAGCCATCAGCAACATGATCAAGAAATAATCTTTTTCTTAATTTATCTACCAGATTCCATTGCAATTTCACTTTTATACATTTTTTTTTCATATAGACACTTTTCATATTTACCAAAAATATATTGCTCGCGGGTGCCATTCATATTTAAGACATTGAAAAAATATTTCGAGAATTTGAAAATATGTAAATTCACGAGCTTTCGGTGAATGTTGTCAGATATTTCTCTTAGTACTGCGTGAATCAATATTTACATGTAGAACAACTACGTGGGTCGATTGAACTCTTGGAGGTAAAAAAAAAACTCTTCAAAAAGCCATTCAACCAATTTCACAATATAGCACAACCTCCCATAAGAAACCTTTTAAAACCAAAGATGTCTCTCCTAGAGGTGGTCTCTTATTGGAGGTTGTGTTAGTTCAAGTCATTTCATTTTTTTCGAGGTTGGTCGCTTAGGGAGGTGGATACTTCTCAGATAGGTCGCTCATCAGAGGTTTGACTATATTCAACACTCTTAATAATATCATTGAGAAAAAATATATTCATAAAGAATTAATATATAAAAATATTTTCGACGAAAAAAATTTAATCAATTAGAATTATACGAAGAGTAAAAAAAAAAAAAAACGAGAGAGAGAGAGAAAAGTTGCATAACCAAAAATTAAAAAAAAAAGAGAAGATATTAAAACAATTAAGATACCCACCAATAAGTAATGTTCCAGATTTGGCAACCCTGTCAATCAATACCTAGCAGTGTGACCAGTCGATAGGGAAAATCTCCGGAACCAATAGCCTTTAAATGGAATTTCCACTGGATTGTCTTTTTTTTTTCTTCCCTTTACTCATAGATGGAATACTCTGTGAATTTTTTTTCCTCTTCTCTTTATAGAAGAGACGGGTTGTGATAAACTGGGAGAAAAGAAATTTGCTGATGTTAAAACTTTTCAGTAATTTTTTCTCTATATTTTTATTGTTATTAATCTTTTTTTATTATTATTTGGGAGAGAGAGGAAAGTTAGAAAAATATTTTTCTTTCCTTGTGACTCCACCGACCGGTTGTTTTGTATATAAATGGAAGACTTGGTTGATTGTGTATTTTACATTTTAACTTTTTTGAATCGAGTTTTTTTTTTCTGTTGCTCTTTTTTTATATATTTTTTTTACGATCAATGATTTTTTTCCTTTAATATTTGACCACATGTCATTGGTCGTTTTGATCAAATTCGTTTCGGTCATTTTATATTTTCAACTAATATTTTTATTCTCTTATAATTTATCTTCTCGACTGGATACAATGATACCCTCTGTAGATACTAAATTTTGCGCAATTTTTATTTTATCTATTTACAAATAAAACAATTTCCTACCATCCTTACTGCAATGAAAAATATATATTTCCAATATTAAATATATAAATATATTTGGGTAATAAAAAAGGCGTATATTGGATTGAATTAAAAAAATTGTCAATATTTCAGTTGGCTGAACGCCAACCTTTTTCAAGGTATTATAACACATTAATGTGTGTATAATATGTAATTATAATACTTTGAAAAAAGTTGGCGTTCAGCCAACTGAAATATTGGTAAAGTAAATAATATTTTGATCCAATAAATGCCTTTTTAATTAAATATTTATTTATGGATTGCTCTATTTTCAATATATATATAATCAAGGAGATAGTTTAAAACTACATATCTACATATTGTTTAAATCTTTTTTAATCCTCTTGTCTACTAATTTTACTTGTTTTCCCATTTAATAAAAGAGGGTACCTCTCCCTTTATAAATGTGTTGAAACAATGCATCGAGTTTATCACCTCAGTAAAAACTGTAATGGGGGTGATGAAAAGGTGTCGAGGTGATATGATCGAACAATTCAGAAGCCGCTAAAGGGGGTCGGTGTATAGATGGTCTAAACCATTGGTTTTCGACCGCTACGACCCGGGTTCGATTCCCGCATTGGGCACTTTTTTTCTGATAAAAAAAATGCTCCAATGGCCCCCGATTCTTGCAAAAGTTCAACCCCACCAGTGAGTGCAAGTAACTAAACGGGGCTCTGGCACATTTGTAAGTGCAAAGTCGAACTGCTTTTTACATGTGTAGACATGTGATGCACTTACAGTAAAAGGAGTCGCCTACTTCTACCCACCATGTTTATCATGGCCTGTACCACGTGTACTAGGGATAAAAAAAGAAGCCGCTAAAATTGACCATCACAGAATAAGGAGAACAACCTTCAGATCCCTATGTTACAAATATACCACAGTACAACATCTGTACCCCAGGTGGCATCCAGACCAATCCAACGACATATTGACTTTCTCAATTTGTGACGATCAAACTCTGGAATGAAACAAAATTCATTGTTCTGAAATTTTAATCGTTTTTATCCTATACATGTTCTTCAAATATATCAAATTTTGTTCCAATCGGACAACTCCTTCTTGGTGTATCGATATTTTTGTTATAGATTGCATTTAAAAGTCTTATATGATTACAATCTTTTAAAAATTTGAAATAATTATAAATAGAAATAATTCTATTTATAAAATACATTTATTTTTCATATTAAAAAAATGACTTCTTAGAATCCAACTTACGATCTTATATTTAAAATTGTTTATCGTTGATTAATGAAACCTCCTAGCTAAAGAAACATTGCCCGCTGATTGGTTAATGAACTCAACGCCGAAAGGCTGATTGATGTCATGTGACAGCGAGAAACCAATCAGAACGCGAATAAAACGGACACCATCCACTGTAATACATAAAAACAGAATAAGGCAGTAGAATATCATAACGCGACGCTGATTGGAGATACCCGAGCATATCAAAAGCTGAACTTGTTCGGAATATATTTAATTTATTTACAACACGATAAATAGTCGTTAAAGAGAACTACTGCAGTTTAAAGAGTAACGGTATATATGTATATTATATAAAAAAGAGATTTCTGTTGATTTTTTTGAATATCTTGAAAATGATGCTATGGTAATGCAGTCAAAAATCTTGAAAGTAAAATAATAAAAATAGTTTTGATCAGTAATTGCTTTAATTGAGGAATATATAAAAAAAAACATAATTTGGTAAAAATACTGTCTGGCTTAAGGCGTAAAAATAAAAAAAATGGAAAACTTATTTACATAATGTACAAAGGTTTTGAGCCGGCCATCGGGAAAGAGAGAGAGAGAAAATATGGTTTTACGGGCTACTAACCATCGGCCATCGGGAAACAACAACAATGAGTTTTTATAGGGGAAGCGTGACCTCTGGCGGTCGATTTAACAGAGTATTTGAATCTATGAAATATAATTTTAAATAATATAATATAACATGTATATATAATATATAAAATTGGAATTATACAAGATGATGAAATATGTGCGTGTTCACATGTAAATCCGGCCGAGGTGTAAGGGCACAATACTGAGGTGGGGAGGAGATCTTGAAGTCAACCTAATCAAATTCACTCGCGGTGCAAATTGAATTGTGGAGTTCCTGATGGAATATGTATTTGACGGCCTCTCTCTCCATTGTACCTGCTGTCGCACTTATTCCGCGCGCTATATATGCAAATAAATAGTTTCCACCTAACGATGGATTTTGACATTATTTTTGGCTATATGTTCCGAAAGAGGCACCTCTCCCTTTATTCATGCATAGGAATAATGCACATTATGTTTATCGCCACCAGTAAAGTTATCTTTACTGGTGGCGAAAAGGAATGAGCTACAACACCAGTTTTGTCAAATTCAGACAAAAGCCAACAACCTGAATACCATGGTTTCAGGCTATGGCCCTGAGTAGTACAGGGACGGCTTCGATTTCATAACATCCTATGAGATAACCCTCTGGTCGAATTGGCCAAAAATGTGTTAAAGCTGATGAAGTGGCTGATGTTTCTTATGATATACATCATAAACTATTATTCCTGCAGACCTAGGATTTTCCACTGATGAGCCCACTTATTACAGTACGGTATTTAGAGATATAATATTGGATAATGTATATAGGTTGCAAGAAATCTCATTGAAAAAAATACCCCAATATGTAAATATGTAACATAGAGATATATTTTATTAAATGATTCAAACACAAGACATTTATTTAGAATTCTCTGCGCATAACAATAGGTTAGTGTGCCACACCAATATTAGCAAATTTGAATGATAGTCGTTGTTTAGGGCCTTCATCAGTACAGTGGCGGCTTTATAAATATCTTTATTGAAAAAAGAATGTACTCCTTAATGAAAATCTTTAGATGATACAAAGGGGCATATATGTGTTTTATTTTAAAATATAAATATTCGTGTACTTAAAGGTTTTATTTCTTGAACAATATCTGGATCGAAAAAAAGATTTACTTATATCACTATTTCGGTAGGCTGAAACTTTGTTGACATTCAGTCATTCGACGTATTGGTAAATATATCTTTAAATATAATGTATGCCTTGGAATTATGTAAATATGTTGTGGAAAATATCGTCAATCTATAAGATCAATGATTAGCCTTATTTCGGATCTGATTGAAAAAGTTATCTCGTGGGCAAATTTGTGGAAAGTCTTTGATATCGCCGGTCGTCTATTTCTTTTTTTTTTTTTGAAGGCGACAAAGACAATTGTGTTCACACTTGGTTATCTCGCGTGTCTTCACTAAAGGTCATTGTGTATCAATTATATTTTAGAGTTATTGTCTGAATACCGATATACATGGTGAAAGGTACAACTTCTTTAAGTTTTGTCCATGAGAATATTTTGAACAAAATGATA